CAGACTATACTTTTTCATAGCTTGCCTAGAATTTCAACACAACAATATCTATATAAAAAAGCTGGACCCTTGATTCAGAGAAAAGATTAAGGCAATTAAAAACTCTACCTCCATGCTGTTCTCCTCTGAAGCTTAGTGGTGCAGTGGAGACAATGCTGGACTTAGGTTCAGGAAGGACTGGATTGACATCTTCCCTCAGACACTTAATAGCTGCTATGTTCTTGAGCAAGCTACTTAATCCTCATTAGCCTTAGTTTTTTGGTTTGTTATGTGGGGATAATAATAGCACTTACCTCACAGGGTTGTGGTGAGGATGCATTGAGATACCATCTATGAAGTGCATTGCAAACCTTAAAGCACTAAATAAATTATAGCTATTAGCTATTATCATATTATGTTGTTGTTGTCATTCCTACTCAACTCCAAATCTAGTTCATTGTTCATCTGTAGAGCCTTTCCACAATTTGATTAATAGATGATTTAGATATAGATATATATTTAGCTATCTATACTAGTGGTCCAGCTTTATGGACTATTCATCAATGTGCATTTTATATTTTGGATAAGCATTCTTTATCCACTTGGTTTCTCCTATAAGGATAGTTAGGTCAAATTCTTTTGAGTAATTAATGATCATGAGATCATTGGAGGCCTTTCAGTGTACTAAGATTTGATATGATCATTGAAATTCATATTCGAGCAAAAGCATCTGGAAGACTTCAACATCTATGAGGAATCCTTTTTCCATTTGGACTCTATATTACACATGTTTCATAATAATGGCAAACACTTTTGGTGAGGATATATTTGCCTGTCATTTAATTAGCCAGCATTTATTAAGTGCCTGCTATATGCCAGGCACTATGCTAAGCTCTTGGGATACAGTGTGTGTGTTACTTATATACTGTGTATGGCATATATACCATATTCTCAAAGAGTTCATAATCTAAAGGTGGTGACAGTATGAAATAACTATACAAATGGAGTATATACAAGGTAAATTGAGGATAATTTCACAGGAAAGGCATTAAAATTAAGAAGGACTGGAAAAGACTTCTGGCAGAAAGTAAAAATTTAACTGAGCCTTGAAGGAGAGAAATTAGGGGGCAGAGATCAAGAGGGAGATCATTCCAGGAATGGGGGACAGCTAAAGAAAAAAACATGGAGTCAGGAAATGGGGTGCCTTGAGTAAGGACCAACAAGGAGGCAGGCCTGTGTCAGAACTTCATTCTCACTTAGTCAATATGGCATCCTGAAGAAGTTGACATGCTACATGCAAACCAGTTTTGCAAACAATAGAAACATTGGTGATACATACAAGGGACTGCTGGGAAAAAAAATAGGACTGCTAATGTGTGTCCCTCCCTCCCCCCACAACCAGAAAAAGGTACCGCTCTCAGTACCTGAGCACTGAATCCAGTGTCAGAGTTTGAATCTTTACTCGGGTGCTTTCTGTCTGCATGACCTTGAATCGTACCCTTTACCCTCTCTGGGTCTCAGTTTCTTCTGTAGAATGAAGGGGCTAGGCTAGATGACCTCTAGGGTCTCTACTCACTCTAAATCCATGATCTTTAGATTTCTCAGTTTTAGAACTAGAAGTCGTCCCCATCCACAGCTTGCTATAACTAAAGATGGGATGGGTGTCTTGTGTGCGTTATTCTTCCTGGCAGAAGAATGGATAAATGAGACAGATAGATAAGGGCAAGTATGAGAGGGGAGACATGAGCTGGGTTCCAAGTTACCTTAGTGATATATCTCACCAGACACCACCCCATTAATTCCACTGAAAGTCAGCAAGACTGGTTTCCAGAGATGACAGTTTGGACATCCAAGCACAACCTTCAACGTGCCTGGAGCCACAGCTGATGAGATGCCAGCGTTCTTCGTATAGTATATATCACAGGGGCCACATAAGCCTGTTAGAAATTGGCTGAGCTAGAAGTGTCAGATGAACATCCTTGGCCCTTTAACTGCTGTGCAGTCTGGTGCGACTGCTTTAGTTTCAGTCAATTGTCAATAATTAGACATCCACATGGACTCCCAGGCCAGTCTTCCCATATTCATCATTAGACTTGTTAGATGTCCCATTGTGCGCTTCAGAAACAATTATTTAAGTGGTTTATAGTTTAGTGGTCAGCATTTTTTGCACAATGACTTTTCTCCCATGTATGTGGTGAAATTTCAGTTACTCTAGAAAAGAAAGTGGCTTTTCATTATAGTTCCATAGGGCAAGTTAATCACAAAGAATGAGGTTCTCTTCTGTAAAGTGGTAACAGTATATACTCAAACAAGATTCATGCCTTTAGGATCTGCTTCATCTGAACCAAGATATAACACTGTCAAAACGGTCTTCAACAATACTACAATTATACAAGGAATAGTAACAACAATTAGCCTTCTTAATGTTGGTGCTTTGGCTATTTTTCTGACATAATAGCATATATTGTGTTGTCCCTTTTCTGAGAAGCCTTATTGAAGTTCATATTAAAATTTTTTAAAAGTTCGTACTAATTACATGTGGGACTGAGATACGTCACCTGGGAACAAGCAAGGCAATATAAACTTGGGTAATAGGTACAGCATATGAGAGCACTAGGGTAAGTTCATCCCTTTAGTAGAAGGTAAGGTCCTTAAAGGCAGGTACTGTTTCATTGTCCCATTTCCAGAAACCAGCACAGTACTTAAGGACATTATAGATACATTATAAATATTTGGTGAATTGAATTGATTTGAGTCGACTTGGTCTGCCTCAGTTAGCTCTGTTTCTTTAGCCTCCCTCTTCTGTAAGGATAGGGCAGCTAGGTGGCACAGTGGATAAAGGGCTGGGCCTGGAGTCAGGATAACATGAGTTCAAACCTGGCCACAGGCACTTACTAGCTGTGTGACCCTGGATAAGTCATTTAACCCTGTTTGTCTCAGTTTTCTCATCTATAAAATGCACTGGAGAAGGAAATGGCAAACCACTCCAGTAACTCTGCCAAGAAAATCCCATGTAGGGTCATGAGGAGTTGGACAGGGCTGGAAATGACTAAACAACTCCAAGGATATGCTAGCCAGGGCTGAGAGAATGGAGCTGGGTGACCTGATCTACTTGGAGCAGCAGAATGCCTTCTTCTTTCCCTGTTTAGACACTACTGTTGTGCCTGACTTGCGGTAAAGCCTTCCTGGCTCATATTGTTCTGATCAGCCACAGTGCCTTGACACATTGTACCTTGATTCCAACATAGTGATGTCATTGTGGTCTGCTTCAAGAATGAAGAACAACCGACTGTGTCAGAGTCATGTGGGCATGAGACATTGCCTATGTTGACCAGAAAATACAGTAAGTGGCGCAAAAGTAGTTGGACCCCAGGTTCAGGATGTTTCTAGCTGAGCTCTGTCTGGGTCAGACAGAAGTAAGACCGGGAGGACTCAATAAAATCTGTGATCTGCCTAGGGCACAATGCACAGGGGAGTGAAATGAGGAAGACATTTTAATATTGCTTTTTATAGATGCATATTTTTAATGTCAGAAAACTATCTTTTCTAAGGCATGTAGATATTTGTTTTGTGAAAAGCATGCATTTGTAATAGAGGAAAAACTTGGAAGAGCAGAAAGAGTACTGGATTTAAAATCAGAGAACTTGTGTTTGACTCTCAACTCCATTTGGACTACGAGCTCCTTTAGAGAAGGGACTGGTTTTTGTCCCCTTTTTTTTGTATCCCCAGCACTTAACACAGTGCCTGATACATAGTAGGTGCCTCAGTTGACTCTATTTCCTCAGCCTCCCTCTACTTTAAGGATAGAGCATCTAGGTGGCCACAGTGGATGGAGTGCCAGACTTGGAGTCAGGAAAACATGAGTTCAAATCTGGCCACCGATACTTACTAGCTGTGTAATCCTGGGCAAGTCACTTAACCCTGTTTGCCTCAATTTCCTTATCTGTAAAATGAGCAGGAGAAGGAAATGGTGAACCACTCTAGGGGCCAAGAAAACACAAAATGGGGTCAAGAAGAGTCAGACATGACTGCAAAACAACTTGATGATGATTCCTACAGAAGTGAAAATATTAGACTTTGGATTATGACAAGACAACAGCTATAAGAAGTGGTACAGATGTGGCCTAGTATCTGAAAGCTTTCTGTTAATGTTGCTGAAAGGGGCTTGGCAAAGGATTCTCATAGTTCTATAGGGATCAGCTACCTTGAATTAGGAAAAAATGCCTCTGGAATTATAGTTGGGAAGGTATTTGAATATGTCTTGATTTCTAGAGTCCCAGAACTATGTCCTTTGCCCTCATGATACATACTGAATAAATTGACTATTGACTTCAATGAAGGACTCAGATCCCAGAAGTACAAAGCAGACAATGTGTAGATCTTATATTCCTGTGAGGCATGATGACTATTAAGAACTATCACAGGAGTCAAGTCAACACTTATTTAGTGCTTACTATGTGTCGGACACTGTGGTGAGTGCTGGGAATACAAACAAAAAAAGGAGGGAGCACTCTTGCTCTCATCATCCAACATATGGATGGGGAAGAGAACATGCAAATAACCATGTACAAAAATGATGGAGACGGGATAAACTGGAGGTCATGTCAGGTGATAGGTGCTAAAATGAAGGAGGATTAGGAATGGCTTTTTGTAGAAGGTGGGGCTTTAGCTAAGATTTGAAGAAAGAACAAGAAGCCACAAATTGAAGATGAAGAGATATGGATTCCAGGCATAAGCACCAGTCAGAAAAATGCCTCAGGTTGGGAGATAGTGTTTTGTCTGAGGAACAGCAAGGAGGCTAGTGTCACTGGCCATAAAGATAGCAAAACTTTAAAATGTAAGAATGTTGGGAGTTAAAAGACAGATAAAAGATCACAGCCGCTCTACCCCTCTGTGCATCCCATACCTCTCTAGGCACTTTTTGAGAACTCATTCCTACCTCTCTAGGCACTTTTTGAGAACTCATTCCTTCTGCTCTACCCTTCATCTGACCTGCCTGCCCTGCCTCATCTTTCTTTTAGGTGCACTGTGGACAACCGAGTCACTCGGGTGGCCTGGCTGAACCGCAGCACGATCCTCTATGCTGGGAATGACAAGTGGTGCCTAGATCCTCGGGTGGTCCTCCTGACCAACACCAAAACCCAGTACAGCATTGAGATCCAGAATGTGGACATATATGATGAAGGCCCGTACACCTGCTCTGTGCAGACAGACAACCACCCAAAGACATCACGAGTCCACCTCATCGTTCAAGGTAAGGGATCCTGTGGAATGGGGAAGTCCGGTGCATGGGAGCTGGGGCGCCTTTCTGTGTAGAATGTAGGCTCTGGCTAGGTCAGTTTCCTGGTGTTTTGTTTTGGTTTGTTTTTGTTTTATAGAATACAGAACTCAAGTGTCTTGGTCACTGACTTTCACACTGAGTAAAAAGTAGGGCCAGGACAAAAGTGACCAATTCCAATTCCATAGTATACAATTAAATCATGCTGCTTTCTTTCAATTTGCTGTCATCAATTGCAATGATTTCTTATTTTGTTGTTTTTTGTTTTGTTTTGTTTTTCCTTTGGTTACTAGTACAGAGCTTCCTTTACTTAGTTTAAGGTATGGACCTAGTGGAATGTCCCTCTTCATATCTTTGGAAGGGAATCCATTCTTTGCTACTCCTGTTTCCTTGGCCTTCCTACAGGTGGCCCCATGAGGAGAGCCTGGTGATCTTTCTCAAGCCTGAGACCTTTGTGAAATGAGAATGAGCCAGGTCATGAAGTTTAGAAGATGTAAAGTGTAAAGGGGGTGGGGGGGGTTAAAAAAAAGAGGAAAGGGAAGAATTATGGAAGAGAACCATGAAAAAAAGAAGATGGGAAATAGGAGACTTAGAACATAGACAAGCAAGGCAAAAAGCAAAAAAGAGGATTTGATGAGGTGAGGATGGCTAGAACAAGCTAACTGAAGGAAAGAGATAGAAAAGCAAGAAATTGCCAGAGTTAGAGATTATACAACAGCTGTGGTGTATGGGTGTGTTTAATTTCAAATTCTGGAGGAACTTTCAGTTCCACTAAGTACTCTCTTATTGTTTCTGTATGAAAGCCAATTGTGCTGGTCTCGACTGTTCTAAAAATCTGCCCTACTACACTGTGGCTATGTTTCTTTTGCCTGGAATGGGATGCCATTGTTTTCCCATTTGAATTGAATTAAAATGGAGTTGGTGACAGCAAAGTGTGAGACAGAGAACAATGCTTTGGTGGGGAAATTTATTACAGACAACATTATAGACATATGATAGGAAGATGAGTATGTGTTGATAGGAGTATGCCTCATAGGTTCTTTATAGACACTGAAATGAAGAGATCAGTAGAGGGTGGGAGGTCAGCAATCTTAACTTGGGCAGTTTGAGCACAAACTAATGGAAAATGTCTAATCCCTTGCTAGGTGATTTCCTCTATAAGTTGGCTGGGTGCCCTGTTAGCATGACACACCAGCTCAAGTATTGGAATCTCATCTTGGGCTAATTTTCAAATGCTGATGGGTATATTGATTTGGAAACAAGCTGGGTTAAGAAAGGCATTGGTCTTGTACACAGAGCCAGCCTAAGCTAATCCGCTGTCGATATGCCTGGACTGAGTATTATTGACACTCTAAAGAATAGACGGCCGTAATTTTCCAGGGCCTTTTTTTTCCACCTCCCTCTTAAAGCAATCAGACAAACTAAATAGAACCAAACTTCCCTGGTCTTTGTGTTGGAAAGGGCATATATCACCATAGGGTGGATTTTGTTGTTGTTTATCTTGTGATCTGTTATTGTATTGAGCGTAAACGATGATTCCCATACCAGAAACTGTCTGTCTGAATAGTCTTAAATTGTTGTTTCAGACTGTGGATGAAAATTCCACTTGACTGTGCATGGGTTCTATAATCTCTGCTATTGGGAGACTGAAGATGATCAATCACTTGGGTTTGGGATTTCTGAACTACAGTATGTCCCCAGTATGTCATTCACCAGTATGATGAACTCCTGGCAGCAGTGGACCAGCAGGGTTTCCTAAGGAGGGGTGAACTGGTACAGGTTGGAAACAGAATGGGTCAACCCTTACCAAGCTAATCATTAGTCAGATTAGGATTGTGAGAGACAACTGCAACTGTATTTGCAGCTTGAGCGAGATAGGGAAAGGCAGTCTCTAAAAATAAAGAAAGAAAGAGAAGGGAAGGAAAGGCAAAGAAATGGAATAAAAGGAAAGGGAAAGGAAGGAAAAAGAAAATTGCACTGGGATGAGAGGAGTCTTGAGATTTCTAACTGGTTTTTGATCTTAAAAGAGAAAAAAAAATGTGGTATGTTCCTATGATTATGTGAACATGGATTATGTGAACCACATAATGATTGGATCAGCTAGAAGGGACCTGAATAGTCACCTTTCCCCACCTTTTCTTTTGGTGCTTCTGGCTCCAAATCTAGCATTCTTTACACCCCATTAATGTCCTTTGCTTCTTCTCCCTCAACATACACATAAATGACATCTGACTAATGTTTCTCTCTTCCACTCCCATTGGTTTAAACTTTTCAGAATCTAGTACTATGTGATACTACCTATAAAGTTTGAGCTCGAAGGAACCTTGGAGTTGTAACTTTTATTTTATTTTATTTTTATTTCTGATAACAGAAGCAGTTCCTTCAATGACCTGTATTGAATGGGAGTGAATGACATGATAAGAATCCTTGAATGTCAGTTCTCTAGAAACTTAGTGGCCACCTGGTCCAATACTCTTATTTTATTCAAATATTTTTATAAACTTATTACTGTACTTCTATACAACTAAATGAGCATGCTTTGCAATTATTTACACTTTAATTAAGCAATATAAATATTATAACAACTTTTTAGTAACACCCTGTAATTCTCCATCAATATTCTTTGTGTATTCATCCTCATTCACTTTCCTTTTTAGATGATTGTGTTTAGCATGTACTTTGTTCTTCTGGTTCTTTAGCTTTTGCTTTAGTGCATGTCGCAAAGGTCTTTCCAAGTTTCTTTATACTCTTCTTATTTCTTAGTTGTATTTCCATTAAAGGATTCCATTGAGACGTCTGTGTATATATCATAATGCATTTAATATTTCTCCTATTATTGGATATTTAGATTGCTTCCAGCTTTTTGAAATAAAGAATAATGCTGCAATCAATCAATAAACATTTATAAATGCCTACTAAGCACTGGGAATCTCTCTCTCTGTATGTATATATGTATGTGTATGTCATACATATCATACATACATACATATACATACAGAAACAGTCCTTGCCCTCAAGGTGCTTACATTCTTTTAAAGGAAACAATATGTAAAATACAAATATGAATATATGCATATATGCATGTGTATATATCTAGATACCTTCCTGTCTAGTAACATATAGTATTATGCATGCATATATGTATGTGTGTATGTATATATGTGTGTATATCTATACACATATATATATATGTATATGTATATATAATGTTCTATGAGGTGAGGTAAAGAGGGAGGACATTCCAGATTATAAGATCTTCAATTAATTCTTTTTTTTGTTTGTTTGTTTTTTATCACTTTGAGGAAATACTCTCAACCATGTTAAAATATAAGTTAGTTTGGAGCAAGAAGTATTTGATTTATTGTGTCTGTATCCCTTGCCTAGCATAATGCCTGACCCAGAGTAGGGACTTAATAGATGCCTGTTGATGCATTGGACAGGAATTTCAGGGTTGAATGGTATGACCATCATAACTTTTTTAGAGCACTGTCAGATTGTTCTCCAAAAACATTTCATAAATTTACAGTCCCACCAGCAATGACTGCCACCTGATTATTTTGGTGATAGGAAATTGAAGCCTAAAAAGATTATATGAGAGGGTCAAGGTCACATAGCTAGGAAATGATGGAGTCAGGACTAGAACTCTGATCTGATTCCTCAGTCTCCTACTCTAATGATCTCCAAGTTTTTTGGGTCACACATGCTATTAGGAAAAACAAACAAAGGAAAAAAAACTTCTATGTGCATGACTAATATATGTATATTCATTTATTTATAAATTATATGCATGTACTATTAGGTATATTATAAAACAGAAAAAAGTGAAGAGAGAAAGAGAAAATGAATAGTATTTTAAAGTATTTATTTATCAATGGTAAAAAGTGTTTTTACTCACTAGAATATTATTATTCTTAATGTTTACTGAAAATGATGTTATTTTATAAGCTTCATTATTTTTTGAAATCTTGTTTCAATACTTTGTGATGGAAAGAGTGATTGAGAGATCTGGTTCTAAGGTCAGTTTGTTTTGGCCTCAAAGGTTATCGTTGCTGAAAAAGATATCTCACAAAGTTCTGTAGATCCAAATGGAACAAGTGCATCATTGGCCTCCATAAACAAACCTTGATCCTGGTTTTTCAGTCCCATCCACTAATTATGCAAAGGTATTTTGCTGAAATTCAGCTACAGTGTTGTTGTGGGGATCAGATGAGTTAGTACTTGAAAAGTGTTCACCACAGTTCCTGGCATGTAAGAAATGCCCTATAAATATTAGTTACTATTTAATAATAATATTATTATTTTCTCCGATTTGGGAGAAGAGAACAGAGGAAGAGCTGATAGTCTAAAAGTTGCTATTTCAGATAGGGAAGATGGGTATGGCAGGGCAAATGGAAAGATAGCCCATAGGTTCTGTTTTCCTGGTGGTAAATGGCCTTCCTTTTCCTTAAAGCTAGCTAGTAAGTGGTGTTCTTGGGGATGGAGAGGAGGATATGGGATCTGGGAATCAGGGTTGCGGATCTGAGAGAGCTCCATGTTTGGTTACTTAAGTCCCAACAGTACTGTTAGCAGCTGTCCATTGAGCCTGTCCACCGGTCCTCTTCTTGTATTCATCCAGTGCTGTCCAGTGATGCTGTGCTTATTTGCTTTTTGCTCAGCTTGCTTCAGAAACTCCTGGACCCCTTGCTCAAGTCTCCCTTGATAGGCAGGTGACTCAACAGACAGGGCATCTGGAGTCATGAAGACCTAAGTTCAAAACCAGCCTCTGATACTTGTGTGACTTTGGGCAAGTCACTTAACCCCTATCTACCTCAGTTTCCTCTTCTATAAAATGAGGATGATAATTGCACTTATCTCCCAGCATTGTTGTGACAATCAAATGAGATAATATTTTCAAAGAATTTTTTTTTCTTTTCTGGCCTTAGACACTTACTAGCTGTGCCACTCTGGGCAAGTCATTTACCTGTTTGCCTCAGTTT